AAATTCTTGTAAACAGGGTGGGGTCCTATCATTATAGAAACATTTCAGACCATTTAGTTCAGTAGTTTCAGTTTATGAATAGACTCATTGCTACATTGTATACAGACCAAATTTTTAAGATAAATATGGAGTTAAAACTAAATAGAAAAAAGTAAATCATGATCTGTTCAATAAGGCCAGACTTTTATTACTGTAGAATACTTTATTTTCGCTTGGAATTTATTTTCGCTATTTTCGCTGAAGGGATGATTCCGTGAAAATAAAATCCAGCGAATATACATTTTTCCCTATATTTTACATTAATCTCATCAAAAATCAGTGAAAATATATTCCAAGCAAAACGCCCAAAAAGCCTTTTCAGCGAAAATAAATTCCAGCGAAAATAAAGTATTCCACAGTATCCTTTGTTTCGCGAACCCGCTGAATGAACAGGAGCCGAAAATGAAATAAAAATTAAATTTTATTTCAGCGTAATTTCTCGCGTCCGCCGACTTGTAAGTGCAAAAAATTGCTAAAAAAAACTTGTTTTTATCTTCATTTGTTTCCGCCCGCCACATAACAAACCCAAGTTGCATTTTCATGGGAGTATCATGATCAAAGTCTTGCGCAGATGAGAAACAAGGTTATACATGGAATAAAATGTTATTTCATTTCTTCTCTTTGATCAATGATCTCATTTACAATTCTTTGGGAATCACACAAATCTAATGGAAAAAAAAGAATTAATTTTATTTTTTTTTCGCCTTCCTCAAAAAAATTGCCTTATAAAAACTCGAGAAACAAGGAATAAAAAAAGTCTGGCCTAATGGAAAGTTATACTCTTTGTTTGAAACTCTGTAATACTTCAAAAAAAATTAACAAAATAAAGGGGATCACAAACCTAACACGGCAGTGTATACAGTTTGTCATATATGATAGACTAACGATGTGATTATACAATTTCACGATTACCAAAATTATCAGTAAATAAATAATGCATTAAAATAAAATATATGATAAATTAATAAACAAATTACGTATTTGAAAAAAAAAAGCCTAAACTAGATAACAAGCACACCATTTAAAGCCTGTATATTATCAAGATACAATATACTGTACCTGCATTTTGAAATAAACTCTTGATTTATTTTTTCCCCAATTTTCATCAACTTCTTTCTGTTTGACATAGACCTGTAGCTGCCTTCCATATTGCGCAATCTGTGGCTGTAAAAGTTCCAATCTGGCAAAGATGTAATGCTGATAAACAGCAAATGGTAGCGTCACCGCAGTTCGTAATGCAAAAGTGGTTAATATTATAGAAGCCCACCATGGCAGATTGGTGAAATCGTGTCCTGTTTCAAGTACTTGTTGGGCAAACCAAACTGGAGGTGAGTCTTTATAAAATAGTGTTTCATACAGTGATGTATGGGTAGAACTATTCACAGTTTGAATGTTGAATGGTCCGGCACATGGAAGAGCTGAGGCACAGAGCCAAGCCCTGTGCGGGAACACAACCTGAAATAAACAATACATGTATTTCAATTAATTTAATTACCTATAGGTGATTTTCCAATCAACTGTGAGATCTCGCGAGTTGAGTGAAAGACGCGCAGCAAACGTTAGCTGCAAAAATTTGATTTTAAACTCTAATTTCTTTATTTCGTAGCTCACATCAAAAGGCCGATCTTGGACAGGGTAATATTGCGTTTGAATACCCTCACTTCATCGAAATAGCCTATCATTAAATGTGTACAGCATATTATTAAGCATGGAAATATCCTCCAAAATACTTTCGCATTTGTCAAATCCCACGCGGTGTTACGACGCTACAACCTTTGTTTGTCCTGTTTTTACGTTTGATTTCACGCATAATGCAGGATCTCGTAGTGAATGGACAATGGTCTATAATAATTATTGATGTTAAACTAGGTGGTTGTAACACAGCACATACATGTACATGTATTCCGTGTATTTTACATGCGTTGTATATACATGTACATGTATGAGACCGACGTTGAATATGATGCATTGTGATCACCACTTAACCATTTGAGTGCCAGATATTTTTCCTGCTCAAAATACAGTGCAAATATACTACATTTGAAAATAATCACTATATTTCGTCATCATTTTGGACCATACAGACTGTTTCAGATATTGGTTTTAGTTTTTAATCAAAAGGTTT